TCGACTGTGCCCCCCCCCCCCCCCCCACCCTGTTGGCTGAGGGCGACGGCTGAGTTTGCTTGTCAGCTGCTTTTTGAAATAAAAAGTCGTGCGAGCGATCAAGCTCCTCTCCCGCTCGACGGCTCGTAGCCACGCCCGGCTCCTGCTGCCCAGAACGGTTCCGGCCCAGCGCGGCTCTGAGCCGGCACCGGGCGAGCAGCCGGACGCAGGGAGCAGGCTGCGGAGCGAGGCACAAGCGGAGGAGGATTCTGCGCCGGAGCCCTGGGCTGTGCGTGAAGCGCCCCAAAGCCTCCACAACGGGGAGTTCCTCCCAGCCCAGCCCCTCGTGAACCCGGCTTGTGGGCGAGGAAAGTGCCCCAGGTGCACGAGGAGGGCTAGGAATCCAGCCTTCAGCCTTCTTCCCCTCGGCAGAGAAGAGCAGGGAGTTCCCTGCAACGCCTAGCTAAAATGAGATAAGGGGCGTGCATGCCCTAGGCTGGGAGAGCGCAGCCCCTCACCTCTCTCGAGAAAAGAAATCAAAGCCCAGGCAACAGGTCACATCCTCGAGGGACCAGCGACTCCTTTCCCCCAGAGGGACAGGTAGAAAGGGAAAGACGCGCTTTCATACTGGTCAATGTCCCCTTAGTGCAGGGCAGGGCAATCATTTTTACAAGGGGGCCACTTCATACATTTCTGAAGTAGCCCTGGGCCACCCCAGAATGGGCAGGGCCAGGGACTTATCATGACTCCCTGGCAGGCCCTGATTGGTCTTGGTGGTGGGAGGAGCATGTGAAGTCTTCCCCCCCAACCCTGTGCCTGGACAGAATCACCAGCTGATTTAAAACATCTGGCAGCTTCTCTTTAGGTGCCACAGCGGGAGACCTCACATACTCCTCCCACCCCCAGGCTAAACGGGGGTAGGGGAACATGCAAAATCTCTCATGCTCCTACCTCTACCCTGCCAAGGGCACACAGGAGCTAGAAATAATCGCCAGCTGTTTTAAAATCCTCCTTGCACCCTTGGTGGGGAGATGAAACTTCATGTGCTACCCTGTCCCCAAGTCTCGATTGGCTTGGTGGTGGGAGAGTGTCAATTGCTCCTTCTTGTGCAAAAGTCCATTGGGCAAAAATAGCAGCTCGTTAGGTATGCAAATGAGGTGCAGCAGTGAATATTGCGGCACCTCATTTGCATATCTTGTGCAAGAATGAGAAATGTAGACGTAGCCTTAGGACAGTGTTTCCCAACTGGGTTCTGCGGACCATCATCAGGGGGTTCTAAGATAAATCGTGGAATAAATAACGCTGGGTGGGGCCTGGAGCATCTGTCACGCCCTTCACCTCCCGCCCTAGCACTTCTGCACTGCTCAGCTGGGCTGCCACGCGGTAGTAAGCTGTGCAAACCACGTTCCAAATGGCCACTTGCTCCCACGCGGCAGCCTGGCTAAGCAGCGCAGAAGTCAGCCGAGCACCAAGGCATTAATAAACTTTTATGAAATTCCTCTCAAAATCTGCTCAACTTTTTAAAATCTGCTGGTTGTGGATGACTGGTTGGTTTTGTCCTGCTGACATGTATTTTCCAATATAGTTGTTGCATAATTTAAGATATAAAACCAAACCTTTGATCAATTATAATGCCTTTAAAACTTAATCAGATATATTTTCACCTATTTGAAAAGAATGTACCTCAGTTACTTTTAACAGCATAAGAGATAAATGGTGCCTTTTCATACCAGAGATTACTTTCTGGCATCAGGCCAGATTTTGAAACAAATTGTAAAATAAATTTGTGTAGTAGTCAAGCTCTAAATTTTCCTTAGCACTAACCCAGGATGAACACTGGGGATCTCTTGAAAACCTTCCCCTTCAATGTCCAAGCAGCACAGAACTAGCTGCTTCTTGTTAGGAATTTTTATTCCTTTTCCCTTCATTCTGCTTTGAGTTGCAAGTTTAGCTGATGGAAGGGATTCACTTATGTGTCTGCTCTTCATGAGGAGAAGAGAAAAGCAATAAAAAGTCTCTGATGACCCGCTGTAGTTTGTCTAGTATTGATGGGCCTTTTATGTTAGGCAGATCCTAACACTTTCATTGAAAGCCAGCATTTCACACTAATTCAGGTCTCTTTCTATCTGATTTACACAGTTATGAAAGTTTACAATGTGAATGCTCAAATATCTTACAATACAGGGCAAAGATGTTATAAGTGAGATTAATATCTGCAGCAATTGATAACTATGCAATAGAAGCTAAACACTAAGTATATTTTTTATAAACTGTAATACCTATTTTTCAATACCAACAGGTGAGCCAGACTAATTCCAACTATGTATTTCTCAACATTCAGTAGAAACATTGGGGCTTGGCAGGAGCTTGCATCTGGTTTGCCAGAGCCATACAGTCCATAAACCTGCCATTCCAGCTACCCTTCCATTTGCGGTCTAAATTTCTTTTTCTTTTATGCTTTGCTGCCTTCTATTGCATCCCACTTTTACAGGTCTTTTCCAATTTCCACAAAATATTCTAGTTTAATTCAATAAGGGCACCCTTCCTTTCTTGTCACACAAGTCTCATGCTAAGTCATATGGGAGGCTTGGCACCAGGATATAAATGCTACATAATATATAATGCTCACCTTTGTATATATACTAAGTAGCACCTTATAGTAGGGAATATTCTCCAGTCCCCATATACACAATTTATTTATTTTTATTCGTGGACTGTTTACATCAGCGTTTCTTAAACTTTTTAAGACTGAGGAACACCAAACAATATTTTTTTTAATGAGGAACACCAAGAGTTTTTGGTTGAGCGAGAAAAAAAAACCCACCAACAAAACAACACCCCCCCTTGCTCCTTGAACACCAGACAAGACTTTTATTGACAATGACAATATTCGCTCAATGCCCAATAATTTAAGTATTTTTTTAATTATCTTTTGAAAAGTGGAACATCTTTTTTAATCTAACTATCCGAAACTGGTCAATGTCCCCTTAGTGCAGGGCAGGGCAATCATTTTTACAAGGGGGCCACTTCATACATTTCTGAAGTAGCCCTGGGCCACCCCAGAATGGGCAGGGCCAGGGACTTATCATGACTCCCTGGCAGGCCCTGATTGGTCTTGGTGGTGGGAGGAGCATGTGAAGTCTTCCCCCCCAACCCTGTGCCTGGACAGAATCACCAGCTGATTTAAAACATCTGGCAGCTTCTCTTTAGGTGCCACAGCGGGAGACCTCACATACTCCTCCCACCCCCAGGCTAAACGGGGGTAGGGGAACATGCAAAATCTCTCATGCTCCTACCTCTACCCTGCCAAGGGCACACAGGAGCTAGAAATAATCGCCAGCTGTTTTAAAATCCTCCTTGCACCCTTGGTGGGGAGATGAAACTTCATGTGCTACCCTGTCCCCAAGTCTCGATTGGCTTGGTGGTGGGAGAGTGTCAATTGCTCCTTCTTGTGCAAAAGTCCATTGGGCAAAAATAGCAGCTCGTTAGGTATGCAAATGAGGTGCAGCAGTGAATATTGCGGCACCTCATTTGCATATCTTGTGCAAGAATGAGAAATGTAGACGTAGCCTTAGGACAGTGTTTCCCAACTGGGTTCTGCGGACCATCATCAGGGGGTTCTAAGATAAATCGTGGAATAAATAACGCTGGGTGGGGCCTGGAGCATCTGTCACGCCCTTCACCTCCCGCCCTAGCACTTCTGCACTGCTCAGCTGGGCTGCCACGCGGTAGTAAGCTGTGCAAACCACGTTCCAAATGGCCACTTGCTCCCACGCGGCAGCCTGGCTAAGCAGCGCAGAAGTCAGCCGAGCACCAAGGCATTAATAAACTTTTATGAAATTCCTCTCAAAATCTGCTCAACTTTTTAAAATCTGCTGGTTGTGGATGACTGGTTGGTTTTGTCCTGCTGACATGTATTTTCCAATATAGTTGTTGCATAATTTAAGATATAAAACCAAACCTTTGATCAATTATAATGCCTTTAAAACTTAATCAGATATATTTTCACCTATTTGAAAAGAATGTACCTCAGTTACTTTTAACAGCATAAGAGATAAATGGTGCCTTTTCATACCAGAGATTACTTTCTGGCATCAGGCCAGATTTTGAAACAAATTGTAAAATAAATTTGTGTAGTAGTCAAGCTCTAAATTTTCCTTAGCACTAACCCAGGATGAACACTGGGGATCTCTTGAAAACCTTCCCCTTCAATGTCCAAGCAGCACAGAACTAGCTGCTTCTTGTTAGGAATTTTTATTCCTTTTCCCTTCATTCTGCTTTGAGTTGCAAGTTTAGCTGATGGAAGGGATTCACTTATGTGTCTGCTCTTCATGAGGAGAAGAGAAAAGCAATAAAAAGTCTCTGATGACCCGCTGTAGTTTGTCTAGTATTGATGGGCCTTTTATGTTAGGCAGATCCTAACACTTTCATTGAAAGCCAGCATTTCACACTAATTCAGGTCTCTTTCTATCTGATTTACACAGTTATGAAAGTTTACAATGTGAATGCTCAAATATCTTACAATACAGGGCAAAGATGTTATAAGTGAGATTAATATCTGCAGCAATTGATAACTATGCAATAGAAGCTAAACACTAAGTATATTTTTTATAAACTGTAATACCTATTTTTCAATACCAACAGGTGAGCCAGACTAATTCCAACTATGTATTTCTCAACATTCAGTAGAAACATTGGGGCTTGGCAGGAGCTTGCATCTGGTTTGCCAGAGCCATA